CAGTCCTCCTGGCACTTAACAGCATATACAACATTGCTCTGTTTGTGCCGGGGCACTGGATCTTTGGGGTGAACCAGCCTTTGCCGTAATGTATTTTGGGATTTGAAAGCCACTGGGACATCATGTTTAGAAAATAAACGTCAGTTTCTCCGAAACACCCGCAACAACGGGAAACACACCTTCGAGCCATGTGATGTRAGTATCAGTCACATGGAGGCAGTGCTTAAAAGCCTGAATTTTGCCTGAAACTCTCMGACTGAAGAAGTCTCTTGGAGGAGAGACGAAACATTTCATTAGAGAAGAACCCGTCCAGAAGACCTATACAATTTTTTTTCTTCTTGTCACAAWGTTTCCCCAGTACAGCAGTAAACGTGTTTCGGCTCAGGTGTCTTCTCTTTTCACCGCCTTAAAAATCTAAAGCCTCAGAAGTCACATTAACAGGCGAGCTGATCCCAGCKCTCGTGCTAAACGTGTCAAATCTTTTTGAGACTATTTCATATCCATACTGATCACCTTAACCTGAATGTTCCTCACACATCCCAAACTTGTTTGGTTTTAGGTTTGAGGACTTTGAAGGACTTACAGTGGTCTGAAGTGGAGAAATTTATCCTGACAGAAAAGTTTCAATGTTTCTGCAGTTCTGGGACCACATGCTGGTCTTTGGTTCCTCTGTAACTTTGACCAAACTAGCATAAAATTCATCTTATTCCCAGGTAGAAAGTTTTTGGACCTGTTCAGTTTTATGCAGACGACACTTGACCACGACTCGTGTCTCCTCCCCTTCAGGTCAGAGCGGGACGGGCTCTTACCACGGGAAACACACCTTTGAGAGGTTGAGTCACCACAGAGCGTGCCTGGTGCGCTCTCTGAACATGGAGCGAGTGAACTTGGCCCGATATCCTCCTCAGGACCGGCGGCGGGCTCGCAGGGCACGCGTGGCCCTCAGGTCCCCTCTGATCGACACGTCTAAGAGRACTCTGATCTGGGCTATTGTTGCCACCATCCTGGGCGTGGGTCTGTTCATCGCTCTGCTGGTGATCCTGCTCATCGCTGCAGGACTCAACTGTACCTGCTGGTACTGGAGAGGCTTTTATAACTAAATACTGTTGAGAAGAACAAAGAGTCTGCTGCACTTTGAAACCCATTTTATATTCAGAGTTTTCAGACTTGAATCAGTACACAACCTGTTGATCTAACTCTTTGTTTTGTGTTCAACACTAAAACACTTTTCAAACCTTAAGTTTCGGGGTTCTTCATTTATTCTATGGAAATATTCACTCCCATTCATGTTTGCATTATTTTGTTGAAAAATTAAAACATTTGAACACAAAACAAATCACTGCACTTTATTCATTCATTAAACTGACATGACTTTTTTAAGTGTCTTCATTGGAAGTGAAAGTACAGATTTGATCTTATTTAGCTCAATGTCTGTGTCTCAATTCATGGGCTGGGCCACGTCCTCGCTGGGACACGTGGGCCACGTCCTCGGTGGGCCATGTGGGCCACGTCCTCGGTGGGCCGGGTAGGCTGTTCTAAACTGCTGTGAAATGAGACGGCCTACCCGTCGCCTGACGTTGGCTTCACGTCAGTTTGTGTGACCACTTTACCATTGTGATCAGTTTCATGTC